GCGTCGTGCTGGATGACGACGACGACGATTAGTCGCGTCATGGTTGTGTAATGTACTGCCCCGGTGGGTTTGCTTACGAGCGCTTCTGGGGATGCCGGGCAGTGGTGCTATGTGTTTTGTGCGGTCAGGCACAGACACGCAACGGGAGTGAGCCAGTTCGACCGGTAGGTGGGCAAGCTTTGCTAATTTGCCTGTGAGATCGGGCAAGTGTGATGCAAGTGCTGGGCGGCATGTACGCATGAGTACGAACGAGACGACTCCAATTACCAAGTATGAGAACAGTCCGTCCGTCAACTTATGAAATGGCATTGATTGACTGGGCGTGTTCGGTGCAGGAAAGACTGTGCGTGCCACAACTGAACAACCGTACTGTACGATGCAGCTGCACCCTGTCTCAAGAAATGTTCATGTACATTTGGTCCCCGGTGCCACTGACGACTCACGCCGGCTGTATGGCATAGAATGATTGTCTCATATATCTGAGTCATAATTCACCGCCCGTTGCCCCGGGGGACGCTGAGCGAGGGTCCTTTAGTCACGCGAGCTCAGCGACTCAGCGACTCAGCTCAAGTTCAAGATGTAGCTGCGGTCAAAGTTGGGATCACAGCCACGTTCGTGTCGATCAAAGCTGAGGAAATTTGAGAAATGCTTATATAACATCGCCCAGGTCTATTTCTGTGGTCTGCCTCATAGCGTTGGGCGGCAACTTGATGAGAAGCTTGACACAGTCCTGTTTACCACCGCAATCACCTTCTAGGTTCGATGGATTTTTATCATCTCTAGCGGTTCGGGGGCGCCGCCGCGCGTTGGGCCTCCGGCCCCGTGCATCGGCGGCCGCGCCCCGCCTGGTGCGCACTGCCGCACACGATGTGGCCCACGCCTTCACCTTGCCGCACGGTCACACTGTGCAGCTGCCGCCGGAGTATACCTACACCCTGGATGGCAAGCAGCACGACCTGCGGCCCGCCAGCCTCAAAGCAAACATCTGCAACTTTGACCAGCGCAGTGACACCGCATTCAAAGGATGCGATCCCAAGCGCCATATCGACGCCATGCTGCATGGCTTCAAGAGCCAACAGGGCTGCGTCGCTCGGGGCCATGTTCCGCCATAGGGACCGACACGCTAGAAAGGCCTGGGTAGATATTCACGGAATCGGATCACGGGAGCTCTACTGTTGCTGCCGAAGTCGCGGAAGAGCCGCGGGAAAGTGCGGTTGCACGGGCGATGCGCAACAACAGTCCTGACAAGGATAGGGGCAAGACATCAGTAGCACGGCATCAAACATGCTTGGTGGAACCATCCACAGGCAAGGGACAGGCAACCCCCCAGGGCCCTTGAGTCACTGAGTCGCTGAGCTCGCGTGACTAAAGGACCCTCGCTCAGCGTCCCCCGGGGCAACCGGCGGTGAATTATGACTCGGGTACATAAGACAATTTATCTATGACATATAGCCGGCGTGGGTAGGTCGGGGCACCGGGACCAAATGTACATGAACATTTCTTGAGACAGGGGCAGCTGCATGGGAACTTCCGCACCCAGTCTGCAAAAGACAGCAGCATGGATATAAGATTCGCGACTATGGATGACTGTATTAGGCAATATAACTGGCGTGACGCGCCACAACCACCCAGATCTGACTGATCTAAGTCACGGGGGCCCGAGGGATGGGGGGATGGCGGCAAGCCTTCGCTAAGGAGCATTATAAACGCTCCTGACCAATGGGACTCGTTGCGGACTGCCTGCACAAGGAGGTCACTCGCAGATACACCGACCCATCGCAGCAGAAAGCATGGCGCAAAGTCCTGGAAAAATGTGAGCCGATCGCGGGACCGCAGCATCCGGGGCACCCACGGCGCCGCGCGACCCCGCCTCGCCGCCGCTGACGCATGCCCTGGGATCGTGCAGCCCGCCGTTCTGACCGCATGCGCGCGCACGCGTCCGCATGCACGCGCTCCCCCAGGCGCTCCGTGGCTCACAGATCTGGAGCGCCACAGGCACCAGATCGACCTCGACTCGGAGGACAGCGCGTGGGAAGAGAACGCCGCCGACTGGCTCGCGCGCCGCGGCGGCGGCGACCCTGCCCTCCTGCTGCCGCGCCTCGCAGCCTCCGATCAGCGCGTTTTCGGCATCTGGGCCCGCTGTCTGCTGTCTTGTGCGGCCCGCCGCGCCAGCGGCGCTGCCGGCGCCGCCGGCAGCTGCGCGGCGGCGGCGGCGTGGCCGGACGCGCGGCGCGCGAGGGTCGCGCGGCTGCTGCTGCACGCGGCGACGTGCCACCACTACGCCGTCCTTGCCGCCTTTGAGCAGCAGCCGCCCCCGCCGCCGCCGGGCGGCGGGGCGGGCGCCGGACCGCGGCCACAGGCGGCGGCTGGGGGGCAGGATCTCGAGGGTTGGCCCTATGAGGAGCCATGCTGCGAGCCGCTGTTCGCATCCCTTAGCCCCCAGATTCAGATGTGGCTCATTTCAGACGTCCTCGTGGCGTTGTGGGACCCGCCGCGCGCTGGGTGAGGCGGCGCGGCTGGCCGTGCATCCGCATGCGCCAAGAGGGCGGCCGCTTAATCACACAGCCGGCAGATGGGTGTGTGCCTCTTGGCTTTGATCGCAGCACACAGCCGACAGGCTGAGTCGCCCCCCAAGCATGGCTCTACCGAGCGAGCCTGCCTGGCTCCTGGCTTTGTGGTGCAAAATCTCCCTGGAACATCACCATGCTAGCACTCGCTCACAAACATGAGTCATCATGACATATGTGAGGATCGCAGTAAGTGGGCACCCGCTGCTGCACCCCCCCTCCTTCCCGCCAGGCACAGCGGCGCCGCCACCGCCGGCAGCGCCGGCGCCGCGGACACCCCCCTCCACGCCTCGGCCATGTTGGCGCTCTTCCAGATTGCGGGCATCCACGCGGCCTCCGAGGCGCGCGGCGCGCCGCCGCCGCGGCCGCTGCTGCACACGCGCGTCTCGCGCTACGCCGGCTGGTGGCTGCGGCACCGGAACTTCTTCAAGCGCGCGTACGAAATGCACGACCCCTCCGGCGCGGCGCGCGCCGCGTGCGGGCCGGCGGACCATTCGGCGCCGACGGCGCTGCCGCACGGCATTTTGTTGGTCAAAGAGGGCGCGACGCCGGAGGAAACGGTGGGCAGCGGGGGCGGGGCGGGGGTCCTGAGTCGCAGGGGTTGCGGGGAAGCTGCGGGGGTGGTGGTGGGTTGCGCCCTGTGCTCTGCTGTGGGCACCAGGGTGTAGACCTAGGGGTGCAGAGCCTTGGCTTGCCATTGATCTTCGTACCACACCCAAATGCATGGTCACCGACGGGCTCATTCTCCCGCGCGTGCACGTCTGCACATCGGTGTGCCGCAGGCGCGCGCCGCGTCGGCGCTCCTGGCGGCGCACCGCTGCGCGCTGCTCTCCGCGCCGGCCGCCGGGCGCATGGCGGCGGACCACCAGGCGCCCCTGGCCGAGAGCGCCTGGCGCGCGCTCGCG